ACTCCACTCTTCATTGTTGCGCAACATGGTTGGCTAAACGCGGCCAAGTTCTTGGTGTTATACAAAGCCGAGGTGGACAAGGCATTGAACACAGAAGCAACTCCAATGTATGTTGCCGCCCAAAACGGGCATACAGAACTTGTTTCATTCCTACTGGAATCGAACGCTAACTTGGATGCTCGGACGACTGATGGAGCTACACCCCTTTTCATAGCCTCCCAAATGGGTCACTATGGAGTCGTGGAGATGCTTCTCATCGCTGGAAGCTCCTTCGACATTCCTAACCGAACCGGTGCAGCTGCGCTGTTCATTGCGGCCCAGCAATTTGGCCTCAAAGACAAGTTTTGGCCTTCAGCAAGTGTTTGTTCAATCAACCGAGACCTTCACTAAGCAACTTAACCCTGTGTTGTTTCTGAGGAACAATCATGCTGACATTGTTCAGCTGCTTCTTTCCTGGAAGGCAAGCCTAGAACAAAGGACGGCAGGAGGCGCTTCGCCTGTCTACATTGCGGCTCAAAAGGGTTGCGATGAGTCGCTCCAGTTGCTTCTTGATGCGCGGGCCAAACCCAACGTAGCAGCCAATGATGGAGCGACACCGCTTCTGATCGCGTCGCAGAATGGCAACCAGAGCTCGGCCAGCATCCTTTTGTCCTATGAAGCTCTCGTCAACAAAGCGATGTCTACCCTTGCAACTCCTCTTTTTGTGTCAGCTCAAAATGGCCATTTGGATGTAGCCAAATTGTTGGTTGAATGGACGGCTGATGTGCAGCTCTCTTTGGAGAATGGAACAAGCCCTGCCTACGTTGCTGCGCAAAATGGGCACAAGGCAATGGTGAAATTCTTGTGCGAGCAAAAGGCGAACATTGAAGCAACGGGTGCTGGTGGGGCGACAGCTTTCTTCATTGCTGCTCAAAATGGTCACTTGGGAGTCATGCAGTATCTCTTGAAGAATATCAAGAAGCTGAGGCAGGTCAAGTGTGTATATACTCAGATGTAATGGACTGAGTGTGTACAATCTCATCTCGCGATCCCGAGGCCAATGTTTCAATGTATTTGGATGTGTTTGTGTCACTTTCTGTCTATGTCCCACATTATTCCTGATTCCGCAACTTTCCGCAGTGGCTAATTATATGTCATTCGTGCACAGTTGACCATCACAAACCACGAACCCACTCAACTCTCGCATGGCTGTGGGTATGCGTCGTTCGGCGTTGCTAGAGATTCGTTTCGGTCCTTTGGGTGGCGCCACTTAAGTGATCTGCTCTCCCGGCTGCGGCAGATCGATCTTCTGACATCTTGTTTTCTGTCCAGTCCAGCGGGGTGCAGTCCGCCAGCACTCTTCGTTCCTTTAGCCGAGACTGTTCGGGTCTCGAAGTGGCTGCGCGTGTGCGGGTGCGGACCACAGCGCGTGTCGAGGAGAGTTCGGGGGCAGAGGGGATTGGCCGCGGAGAAAGTGACTGGGTTCGAATTGATTCGATCGTTCTGGAGTGACTGGGTTCGCCCTTTCGCACATGGAAGTGACTGGATTCGTGTCGCTTCCCAAACAGCCGGCCAAACAACCCCAGCTGTGAACTGCCCCCATTTGGGCCGTCGCATCGACCGGGGGAGTCTTTCGGTACTGGTCGTTCGACCAGTCGTTTCATGTCGTTTCCACTCGCCCACGACCCGGGCAGGCTATCGCTATCCAGCCCAATCCAAAAGACCACAAAGAAAGACCAACACAATCCAAAAGAGAGCCAGGCAAAAGCAAGCAGCCAGAAAGGCATAGCGTATCATAATGTATCATAGCATACTTTACACTGTTGATTCACTGCTGATATATGCATGCTCATCCCAATGCCAAGCACCTGTGTAATTGAACATGTTGGTGAGATGTTCTCAGCTCACGGGCCAGTCGTGTGACCGGGAGATTAGGTTCAGCAAGATGAAACAGGCGACCAGGAGATCTTCCAAATGGAAAAGTTTTCTTAAATGTTCTTAAATGAAAACAACGATTTGCCCAGTACTTGATCTCTTGAGGCACGAGGTTAGGCCATTTTGAAGTCCTATCCTGTCAGGCCTGCGACTCTTGATGCCATGCAACAGCTGGACTTGAAAACCAAAGACAGATCTACGCCCCTGCTCGTGTCGTCCCAGAATGGCCACATGGAGGTGGTGTGTTTCTTGACAGAGGACAGGGAGACCTCACAAACCATTCTCACAACCGCAAGAGCCTATGTTTGTCCTTCCAACAAGAATAGAAGTGTTCATCAATCATAGTCTTTACCTTGTTCCAGGTAGCATTTATGGTTCAAAATAGCTCCAGCCAGGTCTTAAATAGTTCCAGATGTGTTTAATATAGTTCTGAGCACTGGTGACTCTCCTAGCAAATCATACCGTAGCAAATCATTCTCATAAACGTAAGCCTACGTTGCTCCTTTCAAGAAACATCATACCTCATACAATATACCTTAGTTTTTGTGTGCATGTGCTTGCTGCTTGATCCATTGAGAGAGGGACTGGCTATCATAACATGCCAGGCCCATGCCGCAGTCGTCGACGCCACGTGCCGTCATGTGTGTCGTGCGCAGATCGATGAGACGCACGGTCTAATGGCATTTGTGCCTGTTACTAGTAGCTTCTTGCTCCTATATAGTAGCGATGCTCTTTGTTACTACTGTAGGGTCAAATGCACCCTTTGCATTTGGTTTGTCGTGGTTTGTCGAATGCCCAAATTGCCACAGAATACTGTGGACCACGTGCACCGCCGCGGTGTTTTCACTCTAGACTTTATACTATTGATTAACACATGCCCGAAGGAGTTCAAAGCTCTCTCGCAGACCCAAATGGCACAGGCGCGGCTGACACTGGTGATGACAGGTCAAAACAGGACAAGATGATGAAATGTTTGCTCAAAACCTTTCTGAAAATGCGATGTTCAGTTTGCAGACACAGATGCCTTTCGAATAGCAGCTTGACTAGTTTTGCATTATATAAACACACAATCCAAGTGATTTCCTGAATTCTAGGTGATCGACCACCAGAAGGAAGGCGGTGCTTCAGCTTTGTATTTGGCATCACAAAATGGACATGCCAACGTGGTGACCCATCTTTTGGCACTCCGTGCCAGTCGCTTGGTCACGGCAACGTTGGTGCATTTTTCCCGGGCTGGCCCTTACATTCGCCCATGTTGGTCCAACTATCTAAATAGAATTCTGGACAAAGGTGGCAACAATCATGTTCAACATGTGTTCATGTGCAGTTGTTTGTACCAAAGATCCAAAGCCGCAAGATTACTTGAAGCTAGAATGGAATAATACTCAAGTGCAGGAAGAATCCTGGCAAAATTCTTGATATGCCTGGTGATGTGAGTTTACAGGTTTGAAACCACAGTAAGTACACAGGTTTGAAACACCGTGGTGTTTTTGTCCAGGGCTGTGCAGAGTCATGTCTTCTTCTTTATGTCTCTTTCCCGTTGAGGTGTGGACAAGGTCTTGATGGACACCTTGGAGACGCCCTTGTTCATTGCTTGCCAAGGCATGGGTTGACTCGTCCCCCCACGGTCGTGGGCCGAAAAAGGGGCTGCGGAGATGCCACAGAGGGGCTTGCCCAGTGAACCCTATTACCATTTGACTATCACTGCCAATCCGTGACTCTGGCAGGCAGTCCCGCAAGTGTCGCGCGTGACTGACACACACACCGACTCACGTCGCGCATGAAATGGAAAATGGACCCCTTGGAAGACGGCTCTCCGTTCACGCACAACAGCTACAGCTTCCCTCCACCCTGCCACAAACGTTTTTCAGAGGAGAAGTGCCATGTCAAAAAGCTTTGCACTGTATAAATTAGGTTTAAGACACTGACCAGTGGACCCTGTATATCAGTGGGGCCTGTATACAAGCATGGATCAAGGGAAAGTAAGAAGTGAGCATCCAATTACCAATGCAACAGGAACTGCCACCAGACACAGCAGCTTTGACCGGAAGCTTACTAGAGAAAAGTCTGTGCAGCGCTTGGGCGCCTGTGAGCCGATGTCGTGTTCAAGTCGTTGTTCAGTGGCCGTTGTCGTTTGGTCACGGCACTCTGTACTTCGTCAGCAAATCCCCCCAAAAGTTCCAGAAGCATCAGGGTCCTTCATGGTCCTTCCGGTCGCCCAGTCTTCCTCGACTCCGGCACTTCGGTCCTTCACGCGGAAAGGGTTTGGGGAGGTTCGGTCTAACACCCCATTGGTCTCTTAGACTTCTGGAAACTTGTTGGAATCAACCAAAATGAAATAGCATGGAAGTCAAACATGTTCCAAGCTTGGTGCTTGCTATGATCATCTGTCTCCTGACAAAATATGCCACAGAGCGAGGGATCTTCACTTGAATTGTAACAGGTCTATTCTCGCCTTCAATATGAAACACTGCCTACATTCCATAGTGCCTCCAAGATAGCATCTGTAAGAGCCTGCCAATGAGCGTCAATGACATATATATATATATAATAATATATATATATAACCCCTGTGAAGATAAACACTCTGAAATCGGGAGCTTAAGCATCCCAAATTAGGATAAAACAAGTGTAAGCTAAAAAGAGTAGCCTAGCGTGCTTGATTTTAGAGCAGAGGACTAAAGACATAAGAACATGTTGAGAAGGATGGTGCTGCTGATGTTTTAGGGAAACATATTTTTCATGTTTGTCAAAACAAAATGTAATGTCCTCTGATTCTTTAGAGATTTTAGATGACTTTAGGCTTGATGAGGTTGTGCAGTTGATTCTAGAACGCATTAATTATGTTTTTGTTTTGCAAATGTTTGCAGTCCTTGGCTCTGCACATCTCTGAAGACTACCAATTTATCATTGTTGGATAGGTTTTTGATCATTGGAACCAATATCATGCCAACCTCAATACCAAAAAGCAACACTTGGATGGTTTATCATAATTTCAGGCGGTCAAGAATCATGTGGTCTCTCACCCCAAAGACATCATAGTTTTGTTGTTGTGGCTAGTGTGCTCAGGTCCCTTGAATTTATAGAAGCCATATATTGCCTATATATTTTTTGGAACATATCTGTTTGTTCTTGGGAGCTCGATTCTATACTTCTCTCATTTTCTTTGTGCTCTTGATTCTTGACTAAATTTAGGCTATGTCCACAGATTTAGGCTTCTAAAGTGGGCTGCGCTGACCTACCCCTCGAATCTGCATGGGGATAATAGAAACATACACTGTGTATAGACGTCGCGAGAACATGTCTTGCTTGTCAAGAAGTGACTAGAACATGGATAATCACATCCAATAGGTGGGACGGGGGAGGCCTCGAAGAGCTACTGCCCTTTACAAACCATCTGTTCTACAAACCTTGTGTCCTTTGTTTACCTTGGTCATCCCCTCTTACGTACCGGGGCTGTGTTTCGGACGATGAAGGGTTCAACGCGGTGGGTCTGAAGCGGCGTGTTCGGTTGAACGCGGTGGGTCTTCGATGGCGTTTTGCATGAGGACAAGGTTAAATGCCATCCTGACGCAAAATATGTAGTCAAAAGCTTGGTGAGTGAGTGTGGATTGATGACAGTTTTATGGATATGGTAACTTGGTTGGGACGACAGCCTTCTTCATGTTTGAAGCCCGTTTCCTGCCATTTGCCGGGTTCTTCGACTGCCACAGGTGGCCATGAAGAGGTTGTGATTGAGCTCCTCGAGAATGGATCGAAGGTCAACCAGCCAAAGCACGACGAGACGAGCCCCTTGTATATCGCTTGTCAAAATGGCCACACCAGCCTGGTGCCTCACTTGCTAGGAAAAGGGGCTTCGGTCAACCATCGGAACAAGAATGGAGCTACACCTCTATTCATCGCCTGCCAGAGTCTTGCCTTGAGGGAACAGGCTTTCCTTTTTTGTGGAACAGTCCTCTGAGCCTTATAACAGAGTGTGAAAGAACTCAGGAAGGGACACACAGAAATTGTGGGTCAGTTGTTGGAGAAGCGTGCAGATGTTGAGCAAGCTCTTGCAAGTAATGCGACCCCGCTCTACATTGCTTCATCCAAAGGGCATTCTGGGATCGTGACGAAGCTCTTGGAGGAGAAAGCAGACGCAAACAAGACACCCGGACATGAGACTACTCCGCTGTCAGTTTCAGTGCAGAACAGGCATCCGGAGGCGGGAGCACCAGTGAGATGACTATATAATTACACCGGACATTATGTATATGCGGAATTGACCTACATGTACTAAAACAATCTGAACATAGTGTTTGGGATTCCAAGCAGGAATGCTGAGGAAAGCCATCTCTTCCTGCACACATCTGATATATAACTGTCATCCGAGAAAGCCATTTGTGAACAAGTGTGACACAACACATCAAAGCATCAGGATATCCGACAAGCTTTTGCTTGGCAGGTGGCCAAATTGCTTCTTGCTAAGAGGGTGGAGGTCAACAAGGGTGATAAAAAGGCAGGCTGGACACCTCTTCACTTCGCTATCAAGAACGGTGATTTGGACATGGTCAGCCTTTTGGTCGCAAATGGGGCCAAGCCAGAACAGAAGGACGGAGTTGGATAAAGCTGCTTTGGTTGTACGGTTATTCAACTCATCCAGCCCAATGTTTGCAGTTCTTTTGTATTCATTTTTGGATGTCAGAGTTTATGCTACCTGTGGCAAACAAGGGCAACCCACGACCGTGTGATTTCTTTTTGTTTCGGCCAGCTCAATGACAAACGTGTATGTGTGTGTGTGTGTTTCTTCTTCGCGCACTATTGGAGGATAAGTCTGGCCGCGACTCTCGCAAGCTCGCTCAAGAATTTCCTGAGAAGTGTGCGGAGATGTGCCAGATCATGTCGAGCAGCCCACAGGTGATGACCCACTGAAATGCTTTGGTGACCTTTCTCATCAAACAAAAAAGAGCTTTCTCACTTTCATTATGGTGAGACTTGGGGACGGGTCAAAACCTAGACAGAAAAAGAACCATGAGATCGGTTGACATGTTCAGTCCCTTCTGTTTCATTTTCAGGGATCGTACCCGTGGTACTTGGGTTTTGGCCCACACCCACCTGACAAATTCCAACTCTGTAGCACTACTAATTGATCTTTTCTCCACCACCAGTACTTGAGCGCCGCCCTTGATTCTGCGAGTCGTTGCCGTTTGAAGGCCGACGAGTCGCAGGCCTTTCAACAGTGTCTGTTGAAGACATACAGTGATCGGCGGCGTATTTTTGGGGACGCTGCTCCCACACAAGGCCTTAGTAAGCTGCCTGGCCTTACGAATTGAATATTGAATAGTTTGAAGATGTTTGAAGGCCCTGCAGACTGCCTTCAGAGTTGAAGTCGGTTGAAGTTCAACGAAACGCCAACAGGTTGATCGACCCATCCGTGCAATCCACCGGATCCCTGCAACGAGCCAGGAATCCAGAGCACGAGGTCAGGTCCTGGTTCCGAGCAGATGTTTTTGAGATTCGTAGACAGAGGAAGAAAAAGCCCCGCAAGCCGTTTGTGGACGGGTCCGTCGTCAGAACGATGAGCTGTTTTGGGACCAAGTAGTCAAGAAATTGTGCATGAAGAAGGGTGTGTGTTTTTTGTTTTCGAAGTATGGAATTGCTTTCTAGTCCCAGTCTTGGAGAAGTAGAACGAGAGACATTGTTGCGAACTGCAGACTTGCCAGTCTTGTGTCCCCAAATCTGGATGCTACGATCTTGCAGATTTATTTGAGCAGCGAAGCATTTGAGGATGTCAAGCTTCTTGCCTGAAGCATGATTTCGTTCACATATGTAGACATTACACTCCCTGGAACTAAGATGGAAGTGGAACATAGCAGCCAGGTCGAACGGGAGATGGTCCACTTCCATGTTAGAGCACCGAGTGAGAGAGTCTCCCATGTGTCTCAGCAGATGACCGGACCCACCTTCGTCCGGACCTTGAGTGCGAGAAGGGTATATATATATATTATTATATATGATCTATTGCAGCCTACAGAGTTCTACAAAAAGGCCAAGTTGAACTCGATGCTTCCACCGGAGACGCGCTCCCCTTCGGCCTCCGGCCGGCCTCCGAAGGGCTGAAGGCTCGAGAGCCGTTGGTCCGCCATGGTCCGCCATGGGTTCATGCAAGGTGAAACCCACCTGTTTGATATGTCGGAAAGGGGTCATCCGACCTCAAAGCGCCATGGTCCGCGCCAATCTATATATTGTTGCTTTCAGGGGAGAGTGTGGAACCACTGCTTGGCGATGTCGGTGGATCATCGTTGGAGAGTGAAAACGGACCCAACACGAACTCCTTCACTTTCAGCTCCTTCATTGGATCATCCGTTCTTCTTCTCAGCCCGTGGGCCGCGGATCCGGCGGCCCACGGAGCTCGGCCGGGTCCTCGAGCCCCATCGAACTGCTTGGCGGTCTTTTCGACTTCACGGGTATTCATGGCATAAAACAACAACATACCTGGACCTTCAAGGGGTGTCCAATGGAGGTCCCTTAGTAGTGTAGGGGCTTCCAGCTAGGTGACCCCTTTGAGGGTGCTGGTAGTAGACTACAGTATTCAGGCCATGGTTTCGTGCACCCAGTTCAGACCACAGTGGAACTGACAACTGATCCAAATTGATCCAAATCATTCAAAGCTGGCTACGTGAGTACGTACTAGATTCCATATGATTCCACCGTTGGCCGATTGAACAACAGCCCACGATCTGGATATACCATTCAAGATCCAGGGATTTTGATGGTGTTTCGGACAGCAGTCTGCTGTGTGGACGGGGTAGACCTGCTGTGCAACGTCGCCTGCTTCGGTGGACTGTGCTTTGCTTCCGACTGGAGGTGATCGATTGGTGCCAAAGCTTCATGTGAGGCGCAGAAGACCATGTGAGTGTGTAGATTTGTCACAAGAGAGTTGCTTGATGTAGAAAAAATACACTGTTGTTTCCTGAAATCAGCTGCAAACTCCCACATACTCCCACTGTTTCTTGGTTTTTGGTGCGTTGGGGGATTGTTTGGGTCTCCGCAGCTGTTGATCATCATCTTGACACTTCAAAGAACCGAAGACCATGGCGAGTTTGGATGAGGTCAACAGCCGTCAAACGGCCTTGCAGCAGGGCACCATTGACTTGGCAGGGCATGAGGCTCACGAAGCCTCTGGGGACTTGAAGCTGGTAATTGATAAGACCTTCTACACCTACAAGCTTGAAGAGGTAAAGGAGTCAGACAACATGGTGTTGTCAGCTCCAAATTCACCTCGGAGTGACGAAGAGGTGGAGAAGCCTGTCCTGGCCAACCTTCACAAGGTGCAGAAGAGGCTGGACAAGGATGGGAATCGATACACCCAGAAGGAGATGATGCACCGCCACGGTCCCATCAAAGGCCTCCAGCAGTTTCGCCAGTGCAAGGCCTCGTGCACCTACTGTAGCGGCGCCAAGCGGTATGGAGGAAGGGTCCTCAATTTCCCGGAGCTGCAGAGGGAGGTTGGGCGGGAAAGGGCCAAACGCATTTGGAAGAACTCGAAGAGGTTTCC